CTCTTTAACCCTTTTAACTCCCTAATCCTAAGGGCAAAGGGATCTTCGAGAGCTCATCGTGACGAAAATCATTAATGCAAATTCATTTAATCAGCTACTCACTGCTCTTGTACTCTACCTAATATATATGTATAAGATATTACACCGTATAGAAGTTTTGTTTACCCAAACGTATCTCGTAGGATTTCGCAATTTAAATAATTATTTAAAATGTAAACGCAAAAAATTCTGATTAAGAAGCTGCTTAAAAATGCACGATGCGGTTCGCGGATGGAAAAAACGCTTGCTATCGTATAACATAATCGTTCTTCTCGTTTGCTTATTTCCATACACAATTTAAATTAATCTTGGCAAAGTTTTGATTTAATCTTCGTTTCAACATAAGCCCTCGCACGATTTCGAGCATTCAGCTTACCGGGGATTAATGTTTTCGAGCCGGCTGTAGGAACTTAAGACATTGTAATTGAATGTTTTAACGAAAGCAAGTCGGATCAAACTTTGACCCTGTATAACGTTGGTCGGCCAAGTTGGCTCTCTTAGCGCGCATTTAACACAAATTAAGTAACGCAATTCGAATTCGGTCATGACGATACAAGGTGCGAAATCATTTTTGAATCGTCGCATGTCAATGTTCATTTCGAACACAAACGAATGAAGAGGACGTAACTGCTATTCATTTTCGTCATGCATTATTGTATTAGAAAGCTTACTCGTTGGTCGAATAATCCGGTTCGCCGCTTTTAGAAACTGCTTGTCCTTCGTTAAACAGGAAATGATCGTCCAGTAATTGTTGCCGAATCTGTTTGTCTAATGCTCCGAGCGTGTAATAGGTCCCTTTGAGCTCTTCCTTTAACAATGTTAAAGCTTCCTGTACCTAGAGGCATGAGATAATCGTGTTATAAAAGCTATCTCCTAGCCTCACTCTTATGGCAGCTTTAATCCCCTTTCGCCACGCCACGCTAAGCGATACAAAACTAATTGCAGAAATCATTTTCTTCGGATAAACCGCGTGTCTTTTACAAATGGCGGAATTTAGCGCCATTAGAGACTCTATAGTGAGCAAAACGACGTTTAAGAGCATTCGCTTTGTCCGTCTTTATATCCGTTCGACGAACAGAAGAGAGCAAAAACTGTATTTATAAGTTATATACAATGAATTTGTTATATATACATCATTCAATTTGTCAGATATCTTTTTTATTAATATTAATATTATTAATAGCAAATTTTAAAAAAATCAATGATTACAAATTTGTATAATAATTTAAAGAACCGCTGTCTTCCACTTATTTTCCGCTTCAACCTTGCTCGTGATAGAATTGAAGGGATAATCCTTGATCGATTTTACGCAACGAATCTGCGTGCTTTTCCTTGGAATCAAGATTGCCCACTTTTTCTGGCTTGTTCCAATCCAAGTCGGGACGAACATTGTCGACCTTGAAACCACGGGATCGACTAAGCGGGATTGGCAAAGACGTCATAGGTCTTGGGATTAGGTACACATATTACCCACGCAGATTTCACCAGGTCAGACTAAATCACGCACATCAAGGCTGAGCCTCAAGCAATCGCCCACGTGTCTTCAGTGAGAAAATTCTTTGTCCGAGAACAAAATCAAATATTTCGATATAAAAATTGTACGAAAAATTGTTCGAATAATGAATAAATTAAGGAGGAAATTTGAAGGAGACGAAGGAGTATTTTTGATGTGAGTGAAAAACAATAATGTATTCAGTGAATTTATTTTTCCTAATTTTACAATTCAGGAATTTTATTTTTTGATTACTTAGAGAATTTCATAATATATCGCTAATATGTATAAAAATGCATACGATTATTTCCCATAAAATATGATTAATTAATCGCTGTTCATTTATCAATTGCTATTATTGTCAAATCTTGAGGAGATAATAAATTGATGTGTCTATTATTGTCTGTTTTAGAACGATATTTTTGAACGCTGTTAATAAAATATATATTATTTATAATCGATCGCGCATGCATTTTTGATATACGATAAAGTGTTCTAGAGAGACATGTCCATCATTTCATTAAAAAAAAGAACGTGTATTGTTTTTCTAAATAAACAATTGTTTCATTTTTCAAAAATTTGATTTCATAGAATATTACGCTTCTTTGTTAGTGAATAATAATTTTTGACTTTATTGATATCTTGAAATATTTCGAATAGAGATAATATGAAATAAATGTCTTAATTAGAGAATATGTTTTATTCTATTCTATTTTCCACCTACATGACCTTTAGCTCTTCCAGTTCTCTCAGTTCGTCATCATTCTGATAGCGCCTCTTTTCGACAAATGCATGACTGCTTGTCGCACATTTTTTCCTATCTCTCTTTCTCTCTTTTTTAACGTAATTATTTTTTTGTTTCTTGCACACTTATCTTCCTTCTGACCCGTCAGCCACTCTATCCTATCTGCCTTCGTCTATCTCGGTAATTTTCTCGTCTCCTCGCCCTGATTTCCGTGCTCGTGCTCGAGATGCATCTCATCCACAGCGTTGGATTTTAATTATATATTTTTTCACGTACTTCCCATTCTCCCTACCTCTTTCTTGACATTCGTGGCAATCACGAGAACTTTGTAGGACGAGAACGCAAAAATATATGAAATTTTGATCAATCCAACGATCATGTCTTTTTTAATCTTTTCTCGATTTAAAAATAGCTATGTCTTATGCCGACAATTGATTTCTTTGTTTATTCTGAACAAAATTCATGCAGTCTGGGAATAAAATAAAATAAAGACACAGATTGGTTTCTGTATAATTAATATATTTTTAATAAATATACTTTTTATGTTTTTCTCTTATATAAAAAATTTGAATAAAAACCGCAATCTTTTGTCTGCAAAAAACATGTCTCTTTTAATCTTTTCTCAATTTAAAAATAGCTGTGTCTTATGCCGACAATTGATTTCTTTGTTTATTCTGAACAAAATTCATGCAGTCTGGGAATAAAATAAAATAAAGACACAGATTGGTTTCTGTATAATTAATATATTTTTAATAAATATACTTTTTATTTTTTTCTCTTATATAAAAAATTTGAATAAAAACCGCAATCTTTTGTCTGCAAAAAGCAACATTAATAATAACTTACAAAAAATTTAGCATAGATAATAAATGACTTTATAAAAGAAAATCAATCTCAACTAATATAATTTGAGACCAACTCATTCAATATTAGAACTTACAATAATAATCGTCTGTTACTTGCATTATTTATATTTCGAATTTTATTTAGAAATGTTAATAACATTTTCGTCTATCTACGATATTATATATGTATGATTCATTCTACATACAATTCTAATGTACATATTTATTTTAAATTGTACTCCAATTTAAAACATTATCTATTTTTCTATTATAATCTTAATATATAAAGAAAAATCAATTTTAACCAATTCAATTTAATTTAAAAAATATTTTTAAATAAAATATTCTATATATATTTATACTATAGATTTTTTAAATATAGTTTTTTTAGCGCATTAATAATTCTAATACAGTTCCTATATTTGTTACCTATATCTAACAAACTCTTAAATATTTTCGCATAAATCTCTATAACTGTGGCATGATTAAAGAGCGATAGAAAGCTCAATTATGAATAATACTTCTCTCCAACACCGCGCGCGTTCTCTCTTATAACTCAATAACACATTCCGTGTTACGAATACACAGGCGGGTATAAAGCTGCGGGTTATAAATTACGTCGGGAAACTTTGGTGCGGTGGAAGGTGCGGCGGGAAGAATATTGGCGGCGCACGCAAAACTAAACAAACCTTTCACGAGGATCCTAATGACACGTAACGAACGCGAACTGACACGAACTATGCCCGAACTTCAAAACGCGAGAGGTAGCTCTCGTGTAAATACTGAAGAGGCAAGGAGAAATGCAAGAAAATGGAGCGATATTACCCAAGAGACGAGTGAGAGCATGGAAATTAATTATATTTAAATGTGTCAAGTTCTTAAACTGATGTTCGATGGGTTTCATAAATGTAGGCTACGAAGTGTACAAGCCAACAGAATTATAACATATTTTTACAAAAAAAGTTATCACTTTTAATAATTTTATAAAAAATACTGTCATTTATCTGTATTATTATCGATATTAGATATGACATTTTAAAAGGAATTTTTTTAAAGCTATATATATATAAAAACAGGCCAATTTTAATTGCTTATTATTGTTTCGCGTCACAAAATTCAATTTAATTTTTATAGATATATCTTTAAACTTTTTATTTATGCATATTATATTAGAAAATATATTTTTGTTAATATTCGCATGACTTACATTCTTGTTGAGCTTTTTTTATTTCAGATTTATCAATTTTCATTACTTGTTTCTGCTACTTTTGATACGATACTTGAATGAGAACTGCGATTATTGGCAAAAATAACAGCATTAAAACATGTTGGACTGTCTGGTTCTAGTTATTTGAACAGCGTCAATGCAATTTGTCTATTTATCGTCATTTGTTCCAGAATCAATCGCGGCATAGCCAATAGGGAAGCCGTCACAAAATTCAATTTAATTTTTATAGATATATCTTTAAACTTTTTATTTATGCATATTACATTAGAGAATATATTTCTGTTAATATTCGGATGACTTACATTCTTGTTGAGCTTTTTTTATTTCAGATTTATAAATCATTACTTGTTTCTGCTACTTTTGATACGATACTTGAATGAAAACTGCGATTATTGGTAAAAATAACAGCATTAAAACATGTTGGACTGTCTGGTTCTAGTTATTTGAACAGCGTCAATGCAATTTGTCTATTTATCGTCATTTGTTCCAGAATCAATCGCGGCATAGCCAATAGGGAAACCATCATCTTCTGTCAAATATTCGTTTGAACGGTAGATTCGCTACCATACCCATTCCTCTGATTACTCCCGAGCATCGACGTGGTATCGCGCGATCTCGACAAATTATCCGGTAGTTATCGCCCTTCCCATCATGGAGGACACCAGGTTGCACAAATACTATCGAACGCCCGGATACGGGTTGAACTCGCTGGTCAGGAATGCAGATCGATTAGGGTTATCTCAAGCTCGTCGAGGACTTGGATTTTTCATCAACTTCACTCGATTCGTGTTTCAGATATACCGATTTCTCATCACCGATTATAATCTCCGACGTTACCTCCATTTAAACGCTTATTGCGGAACGCTGACTTTTCTTGCGTTTCTCTTTGCAGCGATTGTAGCCATTTGTTCGATTGCGGTAAGTTCAGCACAGAGTGATCTATTTTTCTATTTTAATACTAAAAGAACAATCCTCTATTTTTTTTATTAAAGTAATTCTATTTCGTTTGGAATAAACTTTGAGTAGAATCAATTAGATATAGTATATGTATAAACAATGAGAGCTAGAACAATTCTATTGTGATCATATACGTAAATCTAAAAATCTGATAAAAATTTTATTGATATAACGCAGGTATTGAAAGTTTTTAGACACAATTACCCATTTAGTAGAGAAAATTCAAGTGAGCTTATTAGTCTGGCAATTAATTTGCATATGATACCGTTCGAGATTCGATACAATAATTAAAATGCTATTGACAATGCGAGTACACGGTTCTATAATTAATTGTTTGCTTTAAAAGCAACGTAATAATATTAATTCGATGTGTAATTAATCAAGAAACAATAAATGAAATCGCAGAATTATCAATATATATATATATATTGTATATATATTCCTCGTCGCGTCACGGTAGTTTTTAAATAGAAATAAAATTCACGTGTTATCGTGCAAAAGAAAACGGGTCACGTATCTTTCGAAAACCGTTCCAACTTCGAACTCTCTTGCCGACTTAAAGAAAATGTAAACAACTTTACAAGGCAATCGCTTGCATACTGATATGTTCGTGTACTGTTGTAACAATATATAACTCTTGCACACGTGAACAAACTATACCGCACCTTCGATATTAAGAAAAGAATTTCAATTATTTCCCGAGTAATGAAACATTTGTCATAATCCTTATCGAAGCAATGACGTTCAAGAATTGTAATTTCGTACTTCAAACAAATTATTCGCAAACAAAGAGATTATTTTTTATCGATTTCGCTCTGATATTTTTCCTTTGCAATTGCGAGAGATTTATTTCTCGATAAAACGAATTAAAAAGTACGCAATATAATAGTTGTTGAGGACTTAACTATCTGCGATATAATTAGATTTAAAATTGTGAAATGGCAAAAATATAGAAAAATACGAGAGTTAACTTAAATATGACAGAAATGTAATTTGACATTTAATATTGATGCATGATTATTTTTTGCTTCAAATAATGAAGTCTTTATTCTGACGTTAGAGTTTAAACATGGTAACGTCGAACGGCGCACTTTTTCGTGAATTGTTCACGAAAGCGGAGAAGGTAAGTTGTGGCAGTCTCGGCAATCACAGCCAGATTGAAGTTTGATCGAGGCTAGAGCGATATTGAACCTTATACTTTAAAAGCATCCAGGCGCTGACTACCAATAATTTATAGAAGTTACCGCGGATGAAGAGCATCGTTAATATCATACCTTCGTACAAATGTATTCACAAACATGTAAGCCACGTCGAGTATTCGAAATTTTACAAATGTATAATTAATAAATAATTTTCCATTTCGCCTAATAATAATAATAATAATAATAATCTTGATTTGTTCAGTTGCAACGGATGAGCGTGTTCCAAGAGAAAATGAAGAAAATGGTAAGCATTGGTAATCTACATAATAGTCTCCTCGTTACTCTCTCTCATTGGTTAAATATTTAACCGATTTCTCTCTCTTCTCCGTGACAGTTATGCAAGGAGCACCTGGAGCTGGAAATAATGAACAGCAAAATGTCATGCATCGAGAAGCTATTGAAACCGGAGGTAAATTATTTGTCTCGATAAATGGGTCTCGTTGCGCGGTCGGGTCGTTACTCACGAATGAAAAAAAAAGCAAAGAGAAAAAGAAACACCGTTTGAAACTTGAACGTTAGCCACGCGCGAATCCTTTTGTCGCGCTTTAATTCAGCGTTATAGATAAAAATCATTGGACCGTGACCCTATTCAGAATTTACGCGCGCAGGATCATCGACCTTAAATAATTTAATAATTCGCAAACTCTCTCTCTCTCTCTCTCTCTCTCTCTCTGCGAATACGATGGAGGTTGCGGAAACCCACATAGATATAGTCGCGCGATTCGATGCCAATCGTGAGCTCGCTTTTAATTAAAGTTTCGCCGTCGTCGAAGAATGAGAGACTTTGATAGAACGCATTTACCGCGATTTTCCGCGTGTACGCGCCGGATATCGTTACGACAGGAAGTGGCAACCTTCCGCGCGACAGACACGAGACGACCTATAAACTCTGAATTACCAAAGGTCATATAAACGCATCATGCCTTTCAACGACTTTCGGTCGTTGCGTCGGACATTAGATCAATCCCGGTATAGCCCGATTGGCAGACATAAAATTAGATTCATGCTCGACCCTATCTTTACTCTCAGACCTCTCTCCACGAGTATATTGCTCGATGAGATATTTTTATTTACTCCGTTAATCTTTTTTCCGCACGTTCTATGTGTGTGTGCGAGTATGTGCGTACGTGTGGCTCTATATTTCACCGCTTCCTCTCTTCAAGTGCCTTATTTTCTACTGACAATGGAATTAACAGTCTCATATATATGTCGGTGCAATGTCGAATTGAATCTAAATCATTCAAGAAATTAGCTTAACGAGATGAAGAGGGTTGGAGCACACGGAAATTACGAACTATATGTCTTGTCTGTGACATAAAGAATTAGATTATTTTAGTCGAATGGAAATTCCATTCGATTGCAAAGTTTTCTATCGAAATTTTCTAAAGTGTCATCATTTTTTTTTTTTATTATTTCGTTTCTTTTGATTTACTCGGCTGACGAATCTTACTTGTGATATATACATTAGATATTATAATATGTTAATACGAATCATTTCATTTGTTGCTGAAATTACCGTATATCTTGCAATTTAATATTACAATGATATAAAAGATCGTTTATAGTAATCAAGGTAAAATTATATAGACGATTATCTAGAGGAAGTTTTGGCGTCATCTTATCTTTATACAGATAATAAAAATATGTATTATTTATATCTGCATCTTAGATGAAAAAAAGTGTTATTTACTCTAAATTATCTAGAATAATGTTCAGATAATTTGATTTAGAGTCATAGCACGTAAAACTACTTAATTAGTAGAACTTGAGCAGTAAGCGATAAACATTTATTAATAAAATTATGAATATATTTTTATATTTCTTTTATAATTTACTTTTTTTTATAACTGTGTTTACATAAGTGGTCTTCAAAATAATATAAAAATAATATGATTTGGAAGTTATCTAGACGAATCGCCATATAATGTGATCTTTTATCTAGATATATTCAAAACAAAATAATCTTTATTTTAGATAAAATAAATCATCGAAGCACAACACTGTGTATATACAGAGTGTTAGTACCGGAACAGCAGAATAACTCGAAAAATGAGTCCTAGAAAAATGCTAAGTACTGGGTTTTTATGATTTTTTTCTGGCTATCTGACGTTCAAATAGCCAGGAAAAAATCATAAAAACCCAGTACTTAGCATTTTTTCTAGGACTCATTTTTCGAGTTATTCTGCTGTTCCGGTACTTTTATAACACCTTGTATAAATGATGTGTAGCATTTCTATGTTGACAGTAGTCTCTCTTTCAGGAACAATCCGAATGGCGTCGTAGCAGATCACCGAAGGTATATCACCGTCCAATTAACGCAGAGGTATCAAAATAATAAGTAAGAATATATATTGAAACGCAAAATTAATATATATGTAAACAATTTTGGCTCTACTCCATTCTCATTTCCATAACTGGTGATGTCAATAGCTATGTTAATTGATGTAAATGAAATAATCGTTGCCTGACATCACGTTTTAAACAGATAGTGTAAATCTCATGACGTACATAATGAAGTAATACATTTACATATCCCCATAATATGCTCATTAATTGTGAGCAGTTAATTGTAAACATTAATTACTGTGATTTGATTAACGTCTCGAAATTAAATTGAATTTATTTAGTGCATTCGTTTTGTATGTATTTATAGGTAATGGGACACAATTTACAATGGCCTAGTATATGGCTATCATAGACATAAATTAATACAAGTTTTAATGAATTACACAAGCGCGTTCGGTGAAGTGTGAAGTTAAAAATATTTTTACACACACACACACACACAAAATGGTAGCGAGAAAAAAAGAAAAAAGAAACGATTGCAATGGTTTTATCACATCGTGGTATCGTGTTGCTCTGTATATTCTTGTTCAAACAAATGTAATTTTCGTATGATCACGCGTAAAACAGTATAAATCGTGACCTATTAAATAAACTGCGTATTGTATAAAACGCGCCGATTCTATGACAAAACTTTCGCTATTGAAATAGCCAACATGCGCCAAAATTTTTGTGCGTGCTGAAATTTATCAAAAAAGAATGCGACAGCCTTTTTGCGGTTGACCATACGAGTATTTGTGAATTTTTTAAAAAGTAAACGCCATAACGTCGTTTGCATTGCTATATTCTGCCTCTTTCACATTTCAATATTCAAATATTTTGATTATGTTACTCACAGTCCAATTCTGAGAGAAAAAAATCAAAACTATTTTTCAGAATATCTGCTCTGTTATAGTTACGCAATTATATTATAGATATATTCGTTCGATTGTTCAAGGCATGAATGATAGGTGGAAATCGATTTTATGTCACGCATCTGTGTCATATGTGTCGGTATCTATATATATATATATATATATATAAATATATTATGATAGTTGCCGATTAATTTTAACCACATTCTATATAAAAGCACCCCCGAATTGATATAATATTATTAATTATTCAATTTGAATTCTCCGCATAGGATCTTAATCCATTGATAATAAAATCTCGTATGCATAGAAACGTTCAAGGTATCGTCTTCATGCTCAAACCAATTCGTCCGACATAAAATTAACCGAATAGTCCTTGAGATCGAAGAGTTGTCTGGATATATGGCTGATATACGTTATGCAACAATGAGGGCTATTGTGAAAGCAACCCCATTGTTTTAAGACAAACGTTGAAATTTAACGCTATTATCCCACTCGCGTAAATAAGAAAAGACAATTTAGCATGATTACGATCTCCCCAAACTTCAACTACGTCTACTATCTCAAGACGATCGCTCGCTTACGTTATGTGTTATCCTTGCACAACGCGGTGCACTGTGCTTGTGCAATACGCATCATTGACGTAATAGTCTGAACAACTTCAACTATGATAAATTCACTCTTTCGCCTAAGATAGTACACTTGCATTCCGCGTTCTCTTTCGCGTTGTAAAATTTAATTATTTCATTTTGAAATTAATCAATCATGCTTTCTTTACATCCTCGAGAGATTTTCTTTACATGTAATACAATATGTAATATAATATGTATTTTCGCGAAATTCTCTTTCCAAAATTTTGTTAAACGATTGTTCAATTATTTAAATTATTTAATTCAAAGGTTACATTTTTTAAATTATTAAAATTATTTAATTCAAAAGTTAAATTATTAAATACAATTTTTAAATTACTAAAATTATTTAATTTAAAAATTAAAAACTCATTTAAAAAACTTTTGGAAAGAGATTTCGCGAAAATGCATATTACATTACATATCGTATGTAAAGAAAATCCCTCGAGCATGTATAAAGAAAGAATGAATATCCTTCTCGATTGAGAGAAGGGTGGGAAGGGAGGGATGGATTTTGCGTTGCGCGCGAGATTGATATTTCGTTGATACATCCTCGATTTCTTCCACAACCCCCTGCTCGAAGTCTGACTCACCCCCGGGTGCCGACCGATCGCGCGTCTTCTCTTCTCGGCCGCGTTTACGGATGTCGCCAGTAGTCCGGACTAGACTTCGGCGCGGCGAGTCTGACCATACGATCGTCCGTTTCCACTGCGGGTCGACTATTCCTGATTCCCTCGCCGCACACGTGGAAGTAGACTGGCTCAGAAATTGAACCGGCGGCCGCGGCTACGTGGGTAGCTACGAGAGAACACACAGCAGGGTCTTTGCTCTCGTTTAATATTTTAGCCAGTCCATTGGCTGCTGCCGCTCGAGGCATCGACATGCGCTCTGGCTTTCGGCTCTCTCTCTCTCTCTCTCTCTCTCTCTCTCTCTCGTTCCGCTTACGTTCCGCTCCGCTACACGCGGCACGGCACGACACGACACGACACGACCGACACGGCACGGCACGACACGGCACGACACGGCGCGCTCTCACACGCCTCGTTACGTCAGGCCGGCCCAAACTTTCAGCTCCGGGAGTAATCTAACGAATGCGCTACACGCGGCATCCGATATCGATATGGGGATGAGACGGATCGATCCGCCGCCCTCTCGCGCGCACTCGGCCTATTTATTCGGCCATCGATCCCGCGGCTATCGAACCGCAACGGCGGCCGCTTACGGTTCGGAAAGTGTTACATTCCGACCGATTCGAGAGAGAGAGAGAGAGAGGGAGAGGACCTCGTTATATAAACGGTGGATCGTTACCGTATCGTTAAACTCAGATTTTCGCCTCGATACGATGTTTATACAATCGTCGAGAGAGGGAGAGAGGAATATCGGTAATAAAAGAGGATTTCTCCAGAGAAGTGCAATTGAAATGGAGGAACTAATTTAGGAACTTTCGATATTGAAATTCGGCCTCTCCTTAATCGTGTTTTCTGGGCTTTTCTTAATTTTGTACGAAGCGCGAAGTTCTTATTCTCGCGAATGGAAAATCATTCTATTCTATTCGCCACCGAAAACTTTGTACTTGATGTTTTGGAGCAATATATATTGGAGTATATATATATATATATATATATATATATATATATATATATAGAGGATGGTCTGGTGTTTTAAAGTTATGATGTATGGAATCACGTTTGATGTTTGTAGGAATTAACGCGAGAGAATATTCCACGTTTGCTTGATGTAATGTTGATGAATGGGTAATTTCGCAAAGTTCAGAACCCCCGGCCTTAAAGCTAATTCTTCCATGCGAGATACTTCGCAAGCCGTAAGAGCATATGTTAATATCACAAAGAAATAATAGCGCGTCTTGATATATGTGTAACTGCAACGTGCGGTAAACATTCATCGTCACATTTATAATTTATAGCATTATGCGTCTGTTTTCTTATATAAATATATATTATTTGTAAAAAAAAAATTAATATCGAGATCGAGACGATCTTCTTTATATTTGACTTTAAAATTCAGGGGAACGCAATCCACCTACCCCTATTTCTGCCATCTTCATACTACGATCTCCGGATTTTTAAACCTCGTGAAATGGCAACCTAGTGTTGACGTTGGGAGAAATCGGGTATAGAGTATAGCTTCTATATCTCCCGTTTACTACGTGGTCACTGAACCGTGTGGAGAATTTTTAAAGTAGAAGAAACCTTATATACAAACGTGCACACACTGCTACTGGTGTAATATAGGCGTCTAAAAATAAAATTTGCATTATTCTCTAAAATCGCATTTCTATATAATTAAATATATAACGGAGATATTATATATTGTCTCAAAATTATAGTTAGATCTTAATAAATAATTGAAAATAATGATTGAGTATATAAATCTAATTTTTAGTTTATTAATTTAAAAATATCTAATAATATTGCAAAATATCGAATATTTAATAATAATTAAAATAGAGTTTATTAATTTAATAATTCCCGATAAAAATTTTTATATATAAAATATATATAGAAATATATAAAATTATACATATAATCGCAAAATTATATATGAAATATGTCCATACATAATTAGATAAAAAGCGCTTTTATAAATAAGTATTTCTTTATATATACATATAAATATATATGTTTCATATATAATTTGACATGATTATATATATGAACCCTTATACTTTATATATAAATTTATATCATTATGTATAAAAATATGAACATACTTTACATATAATTTTACGATTCTATGTATAATTATACCATTATTTGTATATAATTATATATAAAAAATGTTTTACCGAGTTAATGTATAAATATCGAAATTTGAGAATTTCTTTAGCATATATTAAAATTAATAACTTGATTTGAAAGATTGATCGATGTTTTTGTGTTCCCGATGTACGAATTCGGCTTCTTTTGTCGTCTGTCAAGTATAATCAGCAAAGCCATATATATGCTGATCGGCATTTTGTGCCGACTGGCATAGATCGATTGATACGTATTCTGTAACGGGTACTGCCCAATGAGCTTGTTGATCGGCAAAGCGGATTATAGTACACGTAGAAGGCGTCTCAAGGCAGAAACAATCGCGCAAATTATGCTCAAACAGATTTAGGACAAGAATGTTATGGCGCATAATGGAATTTGAGAGATGAGATTAGTAAACGATATTACAATCTATTAATATTAGTAATGCGATTAAATACACGTTTTATATTTAACTTTTTTCAATCAAACGATTAAAATTAAAGCAATTGATAAAAGATAGATTTATATAAGAAAAGGCGTTTATATAATAACAATAATATAGCTGGAATATTTTCAGATTTGATTTTCCCGGCCCATTTATTTCGCGCTAGAACAGAGCTGATGCAGCTTCTGCGAAAGGCTTAATATCGATTGTTCGTAATTATACATTTTACTTACAGACTTGCTCGCAGACAGACATGTTATGCCGATGCTTGGCAATTCTGGAAGTGGTAATACAATTTGAGAATGACT